TTTGTTTTATCAATTTCAAAATAAAACGATGAAAGAAAAAAAAACTGAAAAAATGTTGTGTTTTACATGGTAAAAAGAGGTAAAAGTAAATGTACAATGAGATTACATTTTCTTTTTTAATTGGTTGGCGTTATTTTCCAAATTTTGTTGAAATTTTATTTCACTTTAAATAAAATCGGGGGAGAGAGGGGGGGGGGATAATAAACGTGAGATACGGAATATGGAATGAAATTAAAAAAAAATTATTTAATATGGTGAAATGAAATAAAAGTAAATGTGCAATGAGATTATACTTGCTTTTTAATTGTTTCGTATTATTTTCGAAACGGAGAATTTATCTTTAAAATATATCGTATTAATTAATTCGCGCAAAAATTACCAAATATAAATAAAATATAACGATAAATATTTCGAATTAATTTTCGTAAACAGGAAATTTTTGTCCCGTCAGAAAATAATAAAAGGGATTATAAAATAGATAACGAAATCGATAATTCTATATTTCGATCTCACTTGTACAAAAAGAGAATTATATTAACGTTTATATTATTTATTTTCCAGGCGAAGGGGGACAATATTTTCGCGTGAGGCCGAGAAACAGCTCTGTCCAGGAAGGCCGTGACGTAACAATATCTTGCGAAGTTGGAAACAGAGTTGGGATCGTGCAGTGGGTGAAAGATGGCTTCGCCTATGTCATACAATCGAGTAAGTAAATCGATCCTCTGTTCTATCCATCCCTCTCTCACCATTTAAACCATCGAATCCGACTCTTTTAAAATTAAATATATTCATCCAATAAAAATCGAAAACTCTCCAAATCAGAATTTCTCTCTCTTCTTCTATATTTGACACAAATAAAAAATAAAATTAATCGACGAGTCACTTGTCACTTGATAAAGATAGAGATACATAGAAAAAAATTCACATTCGAAGCAAATAATAATCCCAGAAACGAAACTTCTTTCGAATAAACAAACGAGCCACCCCCTTGAAACCCCAGATGACCGAAACCAGTCGCCGTTTTTTAATTACCACGTCAATCTACACGAATCTAACAATCTCCTCTATTAACGTTCGTCTCGATTTCGCGCAATTATCAACTTTCTCTTCAGTTACGGAAGATAAAGTAAAAGTGGAGATTGGACGCCGAGGGGGTAAGAAAACCCAGCCACCCTCCTCCCGCGTCGTAGTAGAATCTTTTGAAACTTCGTTTCGAGGTAACTTCATCTCGCTCGTTCATTAAAACAGGCCATTAGTAACCACGACGTAAATGGAGCAGAACTATCTTAATGTCTCTTGCACGTTCTGTCATTTTTCCTCTCCCCCTCTCTCTCTCTTTCTCTCTCTGGGGAGTGGAGAGTGGAACAACTTAATCTCTAAACGTGTACCGATGTCTTTTTGTCTTTTCTCTCTCTCTCTCTCTATCTCTCTCTCTCTCGAAAAATGTCGTCAACAAAAGTCTTCATCCTCCGCGTCAGTGTCACCGGGTATTATTTGATTCTCTCGGCATGATCCTCTCGCACACGTGGAAAAGAGTGGTAATTAGAGGCTCGACTATCGAAACCCTTTATTAGCCACTCTTTTCTTCCCTCAACACGCTCGTCAACTTGTGCCCTAAATTTTCGAAACTACACGTGTGCATGTGGGGAAGAGGGGGATGAACAAAGCTCGAAACAGTCATTAGGAGAATTGCTTGGCGATGAAAATGACGGATGAGTTGAGACGGGGGTAAAAATGGGGTAATGATATTTTGGAAATTGTTGTAATGTAAATTTTGAGGGGGGAAGAGGAAGGTTTAATTAATTAATCTAAAGTTTAATGTAAAGAAGGAATGTTATATATGATATTTTGAAAGATATCGTCGATTTTGAAAGTTATTTTAGGGATCGAAAGTATTCGATACAAAGTTGAAGCACGATTAATAAAAATTAATAAAAATTGTAAAATGTTCTAAAAGGTTAAATGGAATATTGTATCCAAATATGTATGTATTTATAAATATGTTATTTGAAATATTGCGGAGATTCTGTTTGGAGATTTATTGAGGAAGATAAATCGTACAAGGGAAAAGGGAAGATACATTGCGCTAACGATATTAAAACAAAAATAAAGGGAAATTGCAGGAAAAACGTAGGAAACGAATGTTACGTCAACTTTGCTCCGATTAAATTTGTTAGAAGTATATATTAACATATTTGCTTCGACGTTTCTTTCTTCTTCTTCTTTTTTTTTTTTTTTATTACTATTAAATTTCTAAAACATGAAAGAAATTTTATCGTAAATTGGACGAGAAAGAGGAAACATTAATATCGAGTAAAAACGTGACTTAACTGTTTTGGAAAAAGAAAAAGTCAGTATCGCTCCAAGCAATTTTTGCTCGAAACAATTTTTAAAACATCGAACGCGCGAAAAATTACAGTAAGATGCAGCTTCTGGTCGCGTTGGTTATAAAATGTGTCTGATAGTAAATCGTCCATTTTTCATGCGCATATTCTTTTTTTCTTCCTTTCTTTCTCTTTCTCTCTTTAGAGGAGTATAAGTCGTGGACGTGGTTCGATGCATCTTGCTTGCTGTGTTTTAATGACACGTCCATTATTTTATTTTTGCACATAAAATCTGCATTGTTTCACGAATGATATTTCTGATGTGCAAAATCATTAACGATCTTATTTATAATTTTCGAATCACGTTCAAGAGATATTTTATCGATATTTTCGTAAAATTTATTATATAATATTATTATTTAGCTTTTAACATTTTCTGTCTTTACTGCCACTGAATATCCATCGAAGGGTATTTCTAAAAAAATAAAATCTTTTCAATTTTTCGGTTACAAAAAAGGGTCGATTTTTTCGCGAACAGAGAATTTTCTGTTTCACGATGATTCGTTGGAAATAGGGAGGAACTCGCGGAACAGGGATTGTCAAACATCTTGCCCGTGGCAAGGTAAATTTTTGACGAGAAAGGCAAGGTTGACAGAAGATAATGGCCGCCATGAACCCGTGGCATTCTATCGATTTTGCATATATCATCGCTTTTATCAAAACCCAAGTACGTAGTACGTTCCAGTAGTTTCCACGGGCATCGTGTGTCTTCAAACCTTTATACAGAAATGACATCCTCGTTTAGTTTACGATGTATGCTTTTTTTTTTTTTGAGTTACGACACAGTCTCTCTGGTTGGCATTTTTCTTTTTTCTTTTTTTTTCTGGCTTTGCTCTTATGGACGTTTGTACAATAACCATTGTTATGCTTCAAGGATATATAGGATACAGTCGAGAAACTTGAAGAAGAGATTATTGAAAAATTAAATTTTTATAAAAGATATTTTATAAAAATATTAAAGAATATAAAAGATATTACTGTATTTATGGTTTCTTTATTTTAGTTTTAAAGTTTTTTTTTAATTAATTAAAGAAAAAAGAGAGAAATATTTTTATCAATACGATTAAAAGATAAGAATAGAAAATTATTTATAGTGTATAATATTTAATGCTTTTTTTTAATGCAGAATAAAATTGGTTTGAAAATTTTTAAATAAAGGAAGTTTTTCGCGGAAAGAAGAAAAGAGTCTGAAAGCATTTTAATAATCTTTTTTTTTTTTTTTTTTTTCATAATTGCCTTT